TGACATTTCAATATGTGCATCATATAAAAATAAACCAACGGAACTAAAAAATATTCCGCTTGACAAGCACAGTAAAACTCTTTTAAGTGCTCATAAACAAATCTCGGACTGAACATCAAAATTAATTGTCTCTGCAAAATATCGCAAACATTATTGCGCAATAACGTGCGCCGTAATTCTTCCTACGTGATATTACGCACTCGGAATCAACAACTGCCGGTATTGGGAGAAAAAAACAATAAATAACTGGGGTTGTTTTTCATTCAAAATTTTCAACAGATGGCGTTAAATTTCCGGAATAGAATCAATTCTTTTCTTCGCTTGGGTTGGTAGACCGCAGAACTTTTAGTCCTATTCCAATCCAGATTGGAAAGTGATCCCCCCCGAAAAAAAAGTCCGTTGCTTGTTTTGCAGCGAACTGTAACAGTTTCAATATTCAAGATTTTGCGGAGAAAGGGGAGACCTCCCAACCTTCGTACTGTATAATTTATTGGCCAAAAAAAATGAAATTATTTTGACTATTCGATTACTTTCCCTTTATTTAAGCCATTCCGAATATTATTCCTTAGAAAGCTAATCTGTGTTAAATCACAACCATTAATTGGAAGTTTACTATACTTCAGCAGTTACTGCAACTATGTTATTATAAACATTCATACATATGCTCATAATATAAGCATATGATCACAATAAACACGAATATGGAACTGACCAAGCAGAACGAGAATGCAAATTTTTAAGATATTGATAGAAATTCAAACGTGTGTAGTATTTGGGTGGGAGGAAAGGAATGCCGAATGTAGCGGAATTTTCTACTGCTTTCGCAATTCTTTGACCAATAGAACAACGGGCACTTGTGTGTACTCTTCGTGCACAAAGTTTAAAAAATAATAAAAAAAAAAGGACTGAAGAAAGGGGGGCACTTTAAAGAAAAAGTAAGCACCTATAAGGGCCTTTATATTTTATTTTCAAATATAAGGACTTATAAGGACCGCTACGAACCCTGTCATATATACCCAGATGAGAATAAGTGCTTAGAATTTCAGCATTCTGTTGCATCATATATACAAAAATAACTTTTCCTCTCTTCCCTTTCTCAAATAATGTTTAGGTAAGCAAAGACACAGGAACAAGTAAACTGCATTTCTGGACATTAAAAAGCAGGCAGTTCAACCCTTAGTATAAAGAATCTGATTCAGCATTCATATTACTTGAAACCAATTACATTTCATTAAAAAGATAATACAGTTACATTTTTTTAAATATCACTACAGGATGGAAAAATGTATACAGTCAAAAGTCGTTAACCCAAACTCATCAGGACTTCGGCGATTTGGGATTATAGATCATCAGTTTAAATCTGGTAAGATGGCATGCAGAAATTACAAAATTAAAAATATGAAACCGTAATTTATAAAATAAAGAACAAATATGATCTAAAGGGTATCAAAATTTACAAAAAGAAAAAGCTTAATATTTGTTTACTTTATTAAACATTTCTTTAAATGTAAGTTGTTTAAGTTGCTTCGTTTTATGCGATAATACTTTCGCTAATTCTATTAAACAGACATAATTTCTTGTTTAGTTACAAAGTCACTGTTCAAGTCCTATAAATGCTATGTCGAAAATACCGACTAATTTGTCAATCAAAATTTTTTCGTTTTCAACAACCTCTGTGTCACTTTCTTCACTATCAGAAGCGAATTATAATGTCAAGGAACTTGATTTAAATCATATCAAAGATGGAGTACATCGAGATGAAATACTGCATTTAGTAAGGAATTACAAGCCAAATAAAATAAAAACATCTGCCCTGAAGATAAGGATAGTGCTGACAGATCAACTTCCAGTTCATTGCTCGTCGCGACGTTCCTCCCCCCCGGCCGCAGAGCAGCGCGAAATTGATAAACAGATTTTGGATTTTGAAACATACTTTCACTTTGTAGATCCTTTACATATTAGAAAATTTATATGAAAAAATCTATTTGACATAATCGAAAGTTCAAGCTTACTTTTATAAAATTGCTCTAACGGTCTGCAAAAAATAATAAGCCGGATCCAATTTGAAGATTAAGGAACAACGCAATCTGCAACATTAACTGAATTAGATCATTTTAGCTTAGGTTATACTGTCCGTTATACATTAAACGCACATGTATAAACGTATTATGCACATGCGCACACGCATATTCGCAGCCGTAAAGGTCTTACATGCACGCGTAAATGCCAACGCGACGCATGCACAGAAAGTTTGTAGCTTTGAGGTCCGGATTATGGGCGTCTGAATTAACGACTTTTGACTGTACTTAATTTTTATAGATAGCAGAAACACAACCATACGGTGGCAATGGTATTTATTTCATGCCTATGTGGTATGCTGATGAATAGATGAAAGCATGAAAAGACATTTAAGAGACTGACATTGTTCATAGATGACAGAATTCTGCACAAAAGATGTGTGAGAAGTTATATTTGTACTATGTTATAGAGTTTCATAAGAGCAATAAGTGTTGGAACTCCAGCAAAAAAATCTGAGACATGCATTTGGAATACAACAAAACCTTGGTGCAGGATTTTAATTCATTTCTGAGGGCTGGTCACACACCAATATAAATTTGTCCTATAGGAATTAATTAAAAGACTAAACTGTTCTTGGGCCATAGATGATTGCTTATGTAAAATTTGCAACAGTACTTTTGTGCACAAGCTAATTTTTTCAATTAATGTTAAGAAAGTAGCTCTTTAAATACTCTTTTCCAGGTTCAAAAACATTTTCCCAAGCCTTTACCCCCTTTTCCCCAAAGAAAAAAAAAAAAAAAAAACACTACCAGAATTGCCTTATGTCTTGTCTGCTCCCTTAATGACATATTAATTTTTAATCTAAAGTCAAGACATTTAAAATATGCTCATGTATTTATCAGTTTAATTTTATTCATCATAATAGATTTACCATAATATCTGGACACAACAAAAAACCCCCCCCCCCCAAAAAAAAAAAAAAAAAAAAAAAAAAAAAAAAAAAAAAAATTTCAAATAATAGTCAAAATTTTATCACTGATTGTTTGAAGGCTTCCTTATGTCTCCTTTTTTTTTTTTCCCGGGGGGGGGGGGGAAGTCGCTGCATATCATTTTGCAGAAAACTGTGTTGCCCTATAATAGAAAATACGCCACTGAAAATTATAGCACGAAATTAAACTTCTGAAGTTCTTTTGTGAAAGGAAAAACAAACATACTTCTTAAAGGTATCCCAAGCTACAGTAAAGCAAATTTTTAAATAGTAAGATACAGTCCCTAGCATCACATTTCACCTGGGAAACACAATACAGTACAAAGTTCGTAATCCGGACTCGTTGGGACTTCGGCGATTCCGGATTAGAGGTTTTTTCCAGATTATAGATCATCAATTTAAACCTGGCCAGATGGCATGTAGAAATCATACTATTAAAAATATGAAACCGTAATTTATGAAATAAAAAGCAATTATGATCTAAAGGGTATAAAATTTTACACACACACACAAAAAAAAAAAAAAAAAAAAAAAAAAAAAAAGAGAAGAGAGAGAGAGAGAGCTTCATATTTATTTGTTAACTTCTTTAAACATTTCTTTCAACACGCGCATGCGTAAAGCATATGCGCGTAATGTATGTGCATTCTTTACACACATGCGTTAGTTTGTGGCTTTGAGGTCTGGATTATAGATCATTCCGATAATGGATGTCCGGATTACGGACTTTGTACTGTATTTTTTTTACCCTTGTGGAAACAATTTTATTTAATTTAACCCATTTACCTACATAAAAAAGGGGGGGAATTAATATTTGATTTTACTGCAGCCACATGAAGGAGAATGGACACCATAGATGGAAAACGAGAAAAATGTAATCGTTCGGATGAGAAAACTCTTTTCATAAAAACATAATGTAACTGTCTTTCTGGGGCATTTTCTTGTTTCTTTTCTTTGGTTGAGACCATGACTCGACTTTCTTGAGATTCCCGGTGTGTCTGTTTCATCTAAATGTGTCCAATATGATTTGTTATCACCTATGTTTTACTGTCTAGGGCCAAGTATCACACTGTCAATGAAAATGCTCTGCTGTTGCTTGACGCTGCTTTGTCAGCGAATATCATTGCATGATGTTTTGTTCAAACTTCTTTCATCTGGTGAAACAACTGATGATGAACTAGTAATGTGAGCAATTCACCAAACTCAATTTGAAAATTCAAACTTAATGTCTGGTTTTAGCTATTCAAAAGGGTGCCTGCATGCTGCAAAAGATGTAAAAATTGAGTTTCTGTGGCAGATATCAAAAGCTTCTAAGAAGAAGGAATTCTACAGCTTGTATAACACCAGAAGACATTTGTAACAAATAAGAGCATTTATACCACATATAAAAAAAAATCTTGATTTCTTTCAGACATTATGACCTTTTTTTTTTTTTTATTTTTATTTTTTTTTTTTAATACAACGTGAACTGATTACCAATTTTAGGTCCTTGAAATGATTCCCCCCTCAGAGTATCTGATCTACTTTGATTCATTCAATAACATTTACAGCTACTTTATGCTTAACAAAAGGACAAATGTATATGCAACGCTGAATTTCTCTCTATGTATCATAAATTCTGCTATTCTATTACAACAAAATTATAACAGATAGTAAATTTTTTAAAACTTCCTTTATCATTTTAACAGAATTTCTCCCTCCCCTACTTGTTTTGTTCAATTTTAAATGAAATACTAAATCTTCATACTAAACAATACATAAAAATCTCCTAATCTCCTAGAATAATTTAAATGCAGTTTTGCTTTGCTGGAAAGCAACTCTGAGACCAAGGTTAAAATATTAAATATATTTCCTCCCCCTTTCAGATGGTAAAATTTCTCAATTATTATCAAAAGTTCTCAAAATAACAGCTGCCAGCTCACCATTGGCGACGAAGAAATTGCAGCTGGCAAGGTGGAAGTGATAACCTCAGAAATGTGCTATTAATACTACTTACCTCATGTTCAACTGCCCTTTTTGCTGCTAGATCAGCTTTATTACCAGCTAATGCAATGACAATATTTGGACTTGCCTGACGCTGAAGTTCTTTAACCCAAGTTTTAGCCCTGCTAAAAGTATCCTAAAACAGAAAAGTTTCATAAGTAACTAATAAAATGAAAAAGCATAAAAATTAATATGTGAAGAAAAATTATATTTTTGGAACATTTAAAAACAGAAGCTTTAAAAGTTTTATACCTGATTAGTTATGTCATATACAACAATAGCAGCCTGAGCTCCTCTATAATACATAGGAGCCAAGCTATGATACCTTTCCTGACCTGCAGTGTCCCAAATTTCAAATTTCACTGTAGTGTCATCCAAGCACACAGTTTGTGTCAGGAATGCAGCTAAGGAGTAAAAATGATAAATGAGTTCATAATTAAAAATATGACAGGTGACTCCAGGATACAGTTTAAGAAGTTAAAAAAGCTATGCAGCAAATTATATTTTAGGACAGCATTAATTATAATAATTTGAGACAAACATATTTATCACATTAATATTTAAAGTCAATGAATAAAATCCATACACAGGTTAATTTATAAATAGATTCTATAAAACTACCGATAGGTGTTTATAATACTGAAAATTTTACTTCACAGATAAGAATACAATTCAGAGCTATCATCCCTCAAAAAAACAAGGAAACTTTTAATAAAACATCAGAATACGTTTAAATGAATCTTTAAACAATATTACTAAGCTTTTTAACATAGAAATGTGTAATGAAAGCAAGAAAATTAATATTAAAACACATATTCAGACATGTCATAGTTCAGTTTTTGATTCACTCAATAGCTAAATATATACATCAAGTTTATAATTTTTGCATGGACTTGCGACAAATATTTTATTTAGTAGCACAGCTTACCTGAAGATGATTTTACAGATATTTCTATAATAGATGATGAAATATAATTTTGTGAGAAATTGTAAAAAGGACAAACCTTGACAGCAAACTATAGAAATATATATATTTTTAAACAAAAGATTTCTATAAAACAAACTTTTTCTTAAAAATCATAAAAAAATTAACAGGGTTCGTACACATTTCCTTACATGAAAATTAAGGACTTTTAAGGACCATCAAAAAAAAAAAAATTAAGGACCTATAAGCAAACAAAAAATGAATAGAATAAAGCAATTATCCATACAACCGACTTCATGCTTGTAATTTCACTTTAAGAAAAAGAAACTAAACAAAGTGTGTATTATGCACTATTATTTTAAATTCAATTTTAATACTTACCAAAAACAATTTTGAAAATTAAACTAACTCCCTACAAGTTATGAAGTAGATAACATTAAATTAGGGACATAATTTCTTTAAAAACATGTATAAGTGTATCTTACACTAATAACAGTCACTATTTTAGAGATTTACATGATTTGATTATTATTTAACTTATTTGATATTTATTTTAAACACAGTCAACTACTATTATAATCACAATGTAAGAATATTTTGCAGATTAAAATAACTGATTGTAAACATACAACTTATTTCCTTGGTTTTTTGAAAGATACTAGAATAATAAACTGTACAATAAAAGATACAAAAACATTTGTGCTTTTTTTAAACCTGAAATCTTTCAGCTATTTTAACATCTAATTTATTTATGTCTATTTCCTTTTCTTTAACTATTCTTCTAAGTTTCATTTGCTTTGATAAACAAATCAATGTTCTGCTGGTCTCAGCTTCATCTGCTATAGCATCTACTTCTTCATTAACATCTTTAATGTCCCTTTGAAGAATTTGTTCTTTGCTTCATATAATCCAATTTCTTCCTCAATAATATTCTTTTCCTCTTTGAATTTTCAGATTTAGTTAAAGATTTTTGTTCTTCTAAATACTGAACTTTAAATAACAAACTCCACTTCTGCAGAAGCTGCTGGCTGATCTCATTTCTTTATTAATTTCGATATTAAGAACACCTCCAGAAAATTTTATGTAATCAAATACTGTGCATTGAAAAAATATATGATGAGTCACTTAAATTTTCAATTTCAATTGCTTTATTACAGAGAAGCCCCCTTTCCACAGAGGCCTGTTCATAAGACAAGATAAGATTACTTGTCACAGTGAATACTTGAATAGTGAAAATATACATTTTTTACTATATATATATATATATATTCTTTATTTCCTAAGCAATATTGATTAATTGATTATATTATCTCCTAAGTTTAATTAAAGTAGAATTATTTTAAAAGAGTGAATCCATACTGGTAAGTTATATTTTGAAAGATATATATATATATATATATATACAGTACAAAGTCCGAGATCTGGACATGCAATATCTGGAATGATCTAAAATCCGGACCTCAAAGCCACGACCAACCAATTTGTTTTAGGGCTTTTTTTGAAGGGAAGGGGTATGCTTTACGCACGCGCATTAGATTTTTTTCCTCATCATAAAAAAACATGCCGGAAAAGCCCCGAATTCTTAAATCTCAGTTTGGCGCTAAATAAAATATCCTCATTATTGAAGAAATAATTATTTTAGCTATAAATTTGTGTGATTAATAACTTTGACTCCTGTAGCTGCATATCTGCTTGGCATACATCTCAAACCGAAACATTATACATAGAAATTGTTGATTTTACACCAACTAATATTTTATATCCTTGATGCCGAATTTGGCGAAATCATTATTTATTGTATTTTTGCTTTCATCACCGCATGTTTATCAACGGATGACAACTTGAGTGATGAATCGTGCAGCGACGCCAAATAATAGAGTATTATCCAATTACAGATTTAAGTTTAATGCGCTAAAATGTTGACAAGGGGAGATTTAGCAGAAATTTCTTTCCTTCTGATAAAAATAGATTTTGTTAATGATACTCATAGGACAAACGATTATATTTAGTACTATTTGAATTAAGAATAACTGATTTGTTATTCACATAAAGCCAGAACCAGCACCAGAGCTCGCATGGCCGCACCAGCCGGCAGAATTATAAAGTTAAACAGAAGTTTTTCATTGCGATGACAATGCCCAATCATCAATCAATTAACGGAGGGCGAAATCTGTAGTATGGTTCTAAATCCAGAAAATACAGCTACCGATAGTGAAGAAAGTAACAGAGAGGGTTACTGAACGAGAAAAAATTTGATTGACAAGTTATTTGGAATTCTCGACACAAGCAATTACAGGACTTGAACAATGGAACTTAATAACTGAACAAGAAATTATATGTCTATAGTATTAGTCTAAAGTATTAGCAGAGAAAAACAAATCAAAAACAACTCACATTGAAAGAATGTTTAATAAAGTAAACATATAAATATTAAGCTCTTTTCTTCTGTAAATTTTGATACCCTTTAAATCATAAATGCTTCATTATTTCATAAATCACGATTTTGTATTTTCAATTTTATAATTTCTACGTGCCATCTTAGTAGATTTAAAATGATCTAATATCCAGAAAAATCTCAAATCTGGGATCGCCGAAGTCCCGACGAGTCCAGACCTCGGACTTTGTACTGTATATATATAATACGGAATGTATATTTTCAGTTAAACTTCTACCCAATAACTTTAGTAATTCATGAAAGTTAATTTTGCGTCTAGTTAATTCATGAAAATTAGTTTCAATTAGTTGTTTTCAGCTTTAAAAATATTAAAAAAATTTTAATTAGTTATTTTCAACTAATAATTGTATCGCCATTAGCAAAAATTATGCATTACTATCAACAACATAGGTTTAAACCAAATACTTAATTGTCTATTGAAGCTTCAAAACGATTTTCCGAACTTCACATTTTCTCGGCTAGCGTTACCGAATTTGCCCTTGGCGACCTAAAATCGAAAGGAGCCAACAGATTTCCCGCGAAATCGATAACAGACCCTCTGCAGAAATAAACTCATAATCCCGATATCCCATACATATAGTATGTGCAAAAGAGAATAAACTTCCGTAGAAGGTCATAAAAAAATTAATTTATGGCTTAATTCAAACAAAACACAGAAATTAAGGTAAGGGAAAACCATGTAAAAATAAATCGAAATGATAAAACGAAACTTAGCTTTCATGTGAATTTTCAGCGCTGACTCTCCCATTCTAGAAATTTCAATTTGTTTCAGACAAAAACGACCGCATTTAGCTTTAAAGGATTTGTCATCCATCAATATCCAGTCTTTGTAGTCAGCTTGATGAAGGCCACAGTTTATTGAAAATGCACTTTCCAGGCATCTTGTTCCTATTGGCGTCGGAAGGGGTTGTGGCCTTCCAGGTTGGGAATTGCTCTAATTTTGGGCAAATATTTTCAGAATCCCCCACCCTTTTTTTTCTCGAGCACCTTCATCATCACTTTCGCCTCTTAAAGAACTTCGGCTTTGCGCTTTCGTCACAATCTGCCTAAATTTATGGATAAACACCTGTTTCGAAAGATGGGTGAGGTGAATAGCCAATCAGGACACCGATACTTTCGTTCGAGTAGTACTAATTGTTTTTTTTTTATCGTTTGCAACGCAAATCCGCCAACATATTAGTTAAGAGCCATGTAATTTTAATTCCATATTCATGAGAAATCGTAATTCACACTTAGAATGGCAATCATTAGAAATGATAAGAAATGTCAAATGAGCAAAATTAAGGACCGTTTATTCATTTTGGCCAAAATTAAGGACTTTTAAGGACCAAAAATCATTTTTGAAAAAAATAAGGACTTTTAAGGACCGTACGAACCCTGAATTAACACATTAAAAGGAGAACAATAATTTATCTTATAGTTTTAAGTAAATCTCTTCACAATGTTCTGCTGCAATTCTATAACATGAATAATACATACATGGGTTTTCCTTGATAAATGCGAAAGAGTTAATGGTTTACACTTTTGATAACACAATTTAATTATTAGGTTTTTGTCATTTGGGTGCCAATGCTTTTATTATTCATGATATAAAATTGTAGATTAATTTTGTAAAGAAAATTATTTTATCTCTTGTTCTTATTAAACAATACGATAAACATTTTTAATGTTAGTTCAATAATTATTTTATGAAATTTAAATAAAAGCTCATTTTCTCAACAGACGTGAAAGATGGCGGAGATTACCTCTTATCAGTGTTTTATTTAGAAAAATCACTACAGAACATTTTTAATATGAACCTTTGTATATTTTATATTCTCTATTGTTATTACACTTTCTTTCAGCCTTTTTGCCCCATTCCATACAAGCTATTTGCCTTATAGTTTTCAGCCATTTCATTTTAAAACTGAAGGTTTTCATGTCAAAAAATATAATAACTGGCAAAGCAAGACTGGATCAGAGTTGCAGGTGTTATCTAGAATCACTTCAATTCATGAAAATTGCGGCTCGCGCCAGAGTATGTG